TGATCATTATCGGCTTCTCCTTACTACCGAGAACCAAAATCAAGCCCCGCTTGTCTACTACCCCGCTGTATCAATGTGTCCTTAATGCCTTTTCCAGTCATTGATCTGGTCAAAGTCACTGCAGAAATACTAGTGACAGAGACTCAATTTCAGGCAACGTGACCAATGCGAGTATTTAGAAAGCATTCAATAAAAAAGCTTTCCCGGGAAGTGAATGATTTCACCTTGCAACAAAGAGAGCCGAGCTAATTGAAATAATGCACTTGAATGTGCAGCGCACACTCCGGTGCCAGCTCTCCTTGGAGATTGCTCCACAGCGAAAAGCCGTAGGGAAAATGCTCAATAACGGGTAAGGTAAAACATAACTGCCCTTTTTTTGGGGGGGGGCAATTGGAATTCGGGTCTGGAGATTCGCTTAATCCTGCTGCATTCCCTGGTCTCCCCGCAATAGGCACCAGTGAGTTGTGGACATTCGAAATACTGAGGGAAAAGCAGAACGGAAGCCTACAGGAGGTGGGAAGAGAAATTAAAATCCTGATTTACCGTGGATGCTCTCCCTTTCGCTAATCTTCCATCCAATCCATTGGGCAAATGTCCATGTATTTTTTAGGAAGTTCCCGGGAAGAAACAGCTCTGCGACTCCTGCTTACGTGGTAACGCCGAGGGAGCGAGGCTGACGGACAGGGAATTCATTTCACATAGTGCATTTTCTAAGCATAACACCCTACGGTCAAGCAGCTGTGGGATTCACGAGGCTTAACTCTCCTACAACTGAAGTCAAGTCATTTTAAGAATAGAGATGTGAGTTCGAGCTGCGTGCCAGTTGTTTAGATAGTGGTCTTCATGCCCCAAAGCATCTTGTCCACTTCATGTCTTCTACTTTTACTTCTGTAGCCGATGGATTTGTAGGTCTGTGTTCGTTTCACATGGCATTTTCTCTAATACCTGAGACAATAAAGTCATTGAATTTAACAGATCTGTGTACAATCTGTAAAATGACTTGATGGTTTTCATCTGCCATTTCCAGTAGGGCTCCAAACGCACAGCGATACCCCTTGAGAGGCCAGCAAAGCATTCACTTATTCCTTTACCTACAGGCGCTCTCTGACCCAGAAGCTCCAATAGCTGAGACTGTTGAGCGCCAGCGCTAGTGGTTCACAATACTGAAGCAAACACTCAGCGCAAATAAGTACGTTGACTCATGTTTAGATATTTTGCAAAGAGCTAGTACATGCTAGAAAATCTATGAAGGGTTTTGTTTTCCTGTCACCTAGTTCATTTAATGTTTCTATTTTGACATACGATACATGCTATCCACCAGGTACCCACTGACCCTATTTCTGTTTTGTAGAGCCTAGTTTAAATGGTTTAAATCTTTCAGTCCTGAGATCCCACTCCAAAGACAGTGTCATTTCAGGTGATTGGGATGGTCTGGGCACGAAAACCTCAATATTAACATTAACATCAACATTTAAAAAAATGCTTAGTGCTCAACCAACTTCAAAACCCAAACTCATCTGGCCATGCAGCCAGGAGAAAAACATTGCAATGAAAAGCTTGTCACAGGCTGCCCTCTTTTAAAGGGTAACTTGTGTAAAGCCTTATTTTGGATTATTTATGATATTTAAAAGTGCTACTGAGGGTAAAACAAGAGTATAGGAAGCCAAGGGTAGTAAAAGAGAGGCCCCTGGGTAAGATCTTCCTTCTCCAAGCTGCTTCCTAGACATCCCCTCAGAGGAGCTGCTTCCCAGCCACCTCCACCTGCTCTGCTCCTTCAGTGAAAAATTGTAGTAATAATAAAATAAATATAAAGGAGCCCTCCCTCATTAAACTAGGGGTTGTGCTAACAGTGTGCTTTTTCTTCAGCAGCGCCCGCCATTTCCTCTCAGCGCGTCAACGGCCCCAACG